ATATTCCATGGTGTATATGTGCCACATTTTTCCAATACAGTCTATTATCAATGGGCATTTGGGTTGATTCCAGGTCTTTGCTATTGTAAACAGTGCTGCAATGAACATTCGTGTACATGTGTCCTTATAGTAGAACGATTTATAGTCTTTTGGATATATACCCAGTAATGGGATTGCTGGGTCAAATGGAATTTCTATTTCTAAGGCCTTGAGGAATCGCCACACCGTCTTCCACAATGGTTGAACTAATTTACACTCCCACCAACAGTGTAAAAGTGTTCCTTTTTCTCCACATCCTCTCCAGCATCTGTTGTCTCCAGATTTTTTAATGATCGCCATTCTAACTGGCGTGAGATGGTATCTCAATGTGGTTTTGATTTGCATCTCTCTGATGACCAGTGACGATGAGCATTTTTTCATATGATTGTTGGCCTCATATATGTCTTCTTTCGTAAAGTATCTGTTCATATCCTTTGCCCACTTTTGAATGGGCTTGTTTGTTTTTTTCCTGTAAATCTGCTTGAGTTGTTTGTAAATTCTGGATATCAGCCCTTTGTCAGATGGGTAAACTGCGAAAATTTTTTCCCATTCTGTTGGTTGCCGATCCACTCTAGTGACTGTTTCTTTTGCCGTGCAGAAGCTGTGGAGTTTCATTAGGTCCCATTTGTCTATTTTGGCTTTTGTTGCCAATGCTCTTGGTGTTTTGTTCATGAAGTCCTTGCCTACTCCTATGTCCTGGATAGTTTTGCCTAGATTTCCTTCTAGGGTTTTTATGGTGCCAGGTCTTATGTTTAAGTCTTTAATCCATCTGGAGTTAATTTTAGTGTAAGGTGTCAGGAAGGGGTCCAGTTTCTGCTTTCTGCACATGGCTAGCCAGTTTTCCCAACACCATTTGTTAAACATGGAATCCTTGCCCCATTGCTTGTTTTTGTCAGGTTTATCAAAGATTGTATAGTTGTATGTATGTTGTGTTGCCTCCGGTGCCTCTGTTTTGTTCCATTGGTCTATATCTCTGTTTTGGTACCAGTACCATGCTGTTTTGATTACTGTAACCTTGTAGTATAGTTTGAAATCCGGTAGTGTGATGCCCCCCGCTGTGTTCTTTTTGCTTAGAATCGACTTGGCTATGCGGGCTCTCTTTTGGTTCCATATGAAGTTCATGGTGGTTTTTTTCCAGTTCTGTGAAGAAAGTCAATGGTAGCTTGATGGGGATAGCGTTGATTCTGTAAATTACTTTGGGCAGTATAGCCATTTTCACGATATTAATTCTTCCTAACCATGAACATGGAATGTTTCTCCATCTGTTTGTGTCCTCTCTGATTTCGTTGAGCAGTGGTTTGTAGTTCTCCTTGAAGAGGTCCCTTACGTTCCTTGTGAGTTGTATTCCAAGGTATTTTATTCTTTTTGTAGCAATTGCGAATGGCAGTTTGCTCTTGATTTGGCTTTCTTTAAGTCTGTTATTGGTGTAGACGAATGCTTGTGATTTTTGCACATTGATTTTATATCCTGAGACTTTGCTGAAGTTGCTTATCAGTTTCAGGAGTTTTTGGGCTGAGGCGATGGGGTCTTCTAGGTATACTATCATGTCGTCTGCAAATAGAGACAATTTGGCTTCCACCTTTCCTATTTGAATACCCTTTATTTCTTTTTCTTGCCTGATTGCTCTGGCTAGAACTTCCAGTACTATATTGAATAGGAGTGGTGAGAGAGGGCATCCTTGTCTAGTGCCAGATTTCAAAGGGAATGCTTCCAGTTTTTGCCCATTCAGTATGATATTGGCTGTTGGTTTGTCATAAATAGCTTTTATTACTTTGAGATACGTTCCATCGATACCGAGTTTATTGAGGGTTTTTAGCATAAAGGGCTGTTGAATTTTGTCAAATGCCTTCTCTGCGTCAATTGAGATAATCATGTGGTTTTTGTTTTTGGTTCTGTTTATGTGGTGAATTACGTTGATAGACTTGCGTATGTTGAACCAGCCTTGCATCCCTGGGATGAATCCTACTTGATCATGATGAATAAGTTTTTTGATTTGCTGTTGCAATCGGCTTGCCAATATTTTATTGAAGATTTTTGCATCTATGTTCATCATGGATATTGGCCTGAAGTTTTCTTTTCTCGTTGGGTCTCTGCTGGGTTTTGGTATCAGGATGACGTTGGTCTCATAAAATGATTTGGGAAGGATTCCCTCTTTTTGGATTGTTTGAAATAGTTTTAGAAGGAATGGTACCAGCTCCTCCTTGTGTGTCTGGTAGAATTCGGCTGTGAACCCATCTGGACCTGGGCTTTTTTTGTGAGGTAGGCTCTTAATTGCTGCCTCAACTTCAGACCTTGTTATTGGTCTATTCATAGTTTCAGCTTCCTCCTGGTTTAGGCTTGGGAGGACACAGGAGTCCAGGAATTTATCCATTTCTTCCAGGTTTACTAGTTTATGTGCATAGAGTTGTTTGTAATATTCTCTGATGATGGTTTGAATTTCTGTGGAATCTGTGGTGATTTCCCCTTTATCATTTTTTATTGCATCTATTTGGTTGTTCTCTCTTTTATTTTTAATCAATCTGGCTAGTGGTCTGTCTATTTTGTTGATCTTTTCAAAAAACCAGCTCTTGGATTTATTGATTTTTTGAAGGGTTTTTTGTGTCTCAATCTCCTTCAGCTCAGCTCTGATCTTAGTAATTTCTTGTCTTCTGCTGGGTTTTGAGTTTTTTTTATCTTGCTCCTCTAGCTCTTTCAATTTTGACGATAGGGTGTCTATTTTGGATCTCTCCATTCTCCTCATATGGGCACTTATTGCTATATACTTTCCTCTAGAGACTGCTTTAAATGTGTCCCAGAGGTTCTGGCACGTTGTGTCTTCATTCTCATTGGTTTCGAAGAACTTCTTTATTTCTGCCTTCATTTCGTTGTTTACCCAGTCAACATTCAAGAGCCAGTTGTTCAGTTTCCATGAAGCTGTGCGGTTCTGGGTCGGTTTCTGAATTCTGAGTTCTAACTTGATTGCACTATGGTCTGAGAGGCTGTTTGTTATGATTTCAGTTGTTTTGCATTTGTTGAGCAGTGCTTTACTTCCAATTATGTGGTCAATTTTAGAGTAGGTGTGATGTGGTGCTGAGAAGAATGTGTATTCTGTGGATTTGGGGTGGAGAGTTCTGTAAATGTCCACCAGGTTTGCTTGCTCCAGGTCTGAGTTCAAGCCCTGGGTATCCTTGTTGATTTTCTGTCTGGTTGATCTGTCTAGTATTGACAGTGGAGTGTTAAAGTCTCCCACTATTATTGTGTGGGAGTCTAAGTCCTTCTGTAAGTCATTAAGAACTTGCCTTATGTATCTGGGTGCTCCTGTGTTGGGTCCATATATGTTTAGGATCGTTAGCTCTTCTTGTTGTATCGATCCTTTTACCATTATGTAATGGCCTTCTTTGTCTCTTTTGATCTTTGTTGCTTTAAAGTCTATTTTATCAGAGATGAGAATTGCAACTCCTGCTTTTTTTTGCTTTCCATTAGCTTGGTAAATCTTCCTCCATCCCTTTATTTTGAGCCTTTGTGTATCCTTGCATGTGAGATGGGTTTCCTGGATACAGCACACTGATGGGTTTTGGATTTTTGTCCAGTTTGCCAGTCTGTGTCTTTTGATTGGTGCATTTAGTCCATTTACATTTAGGGTTAATATTGTTATGTGTGAATTTGATACTGCCATTTTGATTCTAAGTGGCTGTTTTGCCTGTTAGTTGTTGTAGATTCTTCATTATGTTGAAGCTCTTTAGCATTCAGTGTGATTTTGGAATGGCTGGTACTGATTGATCCTTTCTATGTGTAGTGCCTCTTTTAGGAGCTCTTGTAAAGCAGGCCTGGTGGTGACAAAATCTCTGAGTACTTGCTTGTTCGCAAAGGATTTTATTCTTCCTTCACTTCTGAAGCTCAGTTTGGCTGGATATGAAATTCTGGGTTGAAAGTTCTTTTCTTTAAGAATGTTGAATATTGGCCCCCACTCTCTTCTGGCTTGTAGTGTTTCTGCCGAGAGATCTGCTGTGAGTCTGATGGGCTTCCCTTTGTGGGTGACCCGACCTTTCTCTCTGGCTGCCCTTAGTATTCTCTCCTTTATTTCAACCCTGTTGAATCTGACGATTATGTGCCTTGGGGTTGCTCTTCTTGCGGAATATCTTTGTGGTGTTCTCTGTATTTCCTGCAATTGAGTGTTGGCTTGTCTTGCTAGGTGGGGGAAATTTTCCTGGATGATGTCCTGAAGAGTATTTTCCAGCTGGGATTCATTCTCTTCGTCCCCTTCTGGTACACCTATCAAACGTAGGTTAGGTCTTTTCACATAGTCCCACATTTCTTGGAGACTTTGTTCATTCCTTTTTGTGCTTTTTTCTCTGATCTTGGTTTCTCGTTTTATTTCATTGAGTTGGTCTTCGACTTCAGATATTCTTTCTTCTGCTTGGTCAATTCGGCTATTGAAACTTGCGTTTGCTTCGCGAAGTTCTCGTATTGTGTTTTTCAGTTCCTTTAATTCATTCATATTCCTCTCTAAGGTATCCATTCTTGTTATCATTTCCTCGAATCTTTTTTCAAATCTTTTTTCAAGGTTCTTAGTTTCTTTGCATTGGTTTAATACATGATCTTTTAGCTCACAAAAGTTTCTCATTATCCATCTTCTGAAGTCTAATTCCGTCATTTCGTCACAGTCGTTCTCCGTCCAGCTTTGTTCCCTTGCTGGTGAGGAGTTTTGGTCCTTTCTAGGAGGCGATGTGTTCTGGTTTCGGGTGTTTTCCTCCTTTTTGCGCTGGTTTCTTCCCATCTTTGTGGATTTGTCCGCTGGTCGTCTGCGTAGTTGCTGACTTTTCGTTTGGGTCTCTGAGTGGACACCCAGAATGTTGATGATGAAGTATTTCTGTTGCTTGGTTTTCCTTCTACCAGTCTAGCCCCTTCGCTGTACGACTGTTGAGGTCCGCTCCAGACCCTGCTTGTCTGGGGTGCACCTCTAGTAGCCGTGGCACAGCGAGGGATGCTACCAGTTTCTTTTTCTGCTCTCTTTGTCCCAGGATGATGCCTGCCTAATGACAGTCTTTTGGATATAGAGGGGTCAGGGAGCTGCTTGAGGAGACAGTTTGTACTTTATAGGGGTTTAATTGCTGAGCTGTGCACTCTGTTGTTCATTCAGGGCTGTTAGGCTGCTATGTTTGATTCTGCTGCAACACAGCTCATTAAACAACCCTTTTTTTTTCACAAATGCTCTGTGTTGAGGGGTTTGGGCTTTATTTTTGGATGTCGGATCAGGTGTCCTGCCCAGCTCAAAGGCAGATTAGCCACTGTTTGGCTGCCGAGGCTCCGCCCTGCTGTTGTGTGATTCGCGCTGTTCCTGCCGGCTCTGCTGTGGTCTCCGCCACGCCCTGCGGCGGAGTCTCTTCGTTGTAGCGTGTTGCCTCAGCAACGGCAGGCTGCGTCAGCAGTGGGCGTGTATCTCAGTTGGGGCGGGTTGCCTCGGCAACGGCTGGCTGCCTCAGCAGTGGGCGTGTATATCAGTTGGGGCAGGTTGCCTCCGTAGTGGTGGACGCCCCTCCCCCACAGAGCGTCTCGGACCGTCTGCCCGGGATAGTTTGAAATCGCGGTTTTGTTCGTCCCACTGGGTATCCCAAACGATCTGTCCCTGCAATCCCCTGGTCTGGGCTACTGTGCAAGTCTCGTTCAGTCTCAAGTCCAGCCCTCTCAAGTCTCAGGTTGCCGGTTCAACAAGGCACCCGGACAAGCGCGCCCTGTGGGGATTGCTGGGTAGGGCCGGCTGCCGCCGCCCCGGCTGCCGGCTTCGCCAGGCAGACCTACTGCCTGGCGTCCCGTGTCTTTTTATATTTGGGAGTTTCCCCGTTCTGTGGGCAACAAAGATCAGTCTGGAAATGCAGCACTGACTCACCGTTTGCGAATTCAACGCGGGCTCCAATCCTGGGTTGTTCTCACAGCGACATCTTGAATCCCCTCCGATTCTGTCCATTTCTTACTTACACAGGGTCCCCTGTGTTTGTGGGCTGTTGCTCAAGAGATGTTTTCCTAGACCAGTGTCTTAGAGAGTTTTCCCCAGTGTTTTCTTGTAGTGCTTTTATAGTTTGAAGTCTTAGATTTATGTCTTTAAACTATTTTGATTTGATTTTTTAATATGGTGAGAGATAGTAGTATAGATTCATTCTTCTGCATATGGATATCCAGTTTTCCCAGCACCATTTATTGAAGAGACTGTCTTTTCCCCAATACAGAGGTGTTCTAGGCACCTCTGTGGAAAATGAGTTCACTGTAGGTATTTGAATTTGTTTCTGGGTTCTCTATTCTGTTCCATTGGTTTATATATCTATTTTTATGCCAGTACCTGCTCTTTTGGTTACAATAGCTCTGTTGTATAATTTGAAGTCAAGTAATGTGATTCCTCCCGTATTGCCATTTTGCTTAAGACAGGTTGGCTATCCTGGGTCTCCTGTGAGTCCATACAAATTTAAGGAATTTTTTTTTATATTTCTGTGAAGAATATCATGGGTATTTTGATAGGGATTGCATTGAATCTTTAGATTTCTTGGGATAGTATAGACACTTGAACAAAATGATTTCTTCCAATCCTTGAACTTGGAATATCTTTGTGTGTGTGTGTGTGTGTGTGTGTGTGCGTGTGTGTCCTCTTCAATTTCTTTCACTGGTATTTTCTGTTTTTGTTATGGAAATCTTTCACTTCTTTGGTTAATTTCTAGTATTTAATTTTATTTGTGGCTATTGTGAATGAGATTACTTTTGTGATTTCTTTTTCAGATTGTTCACTGTTGGCATATGAAAATGCTACTACTTATTTTTACATGTGAATATTGTATCCTGCAACATTACTGAATTTGTTTAATCAGTTCCAATAGTCTTTTGGTGGAGTCTTTAGTTTTATTCAGGTATAAGATTATGTCATTGCAAACCAGGATAATTTGACTTCTTCCTCTCCAGTTTGGATGCCCTGTATTTCTTTCTCTTGCTCTAGGTAGGACTTCCACTACTATATTGCATAAGAGTAGTGAAAGTGGACATCTTTGTCATGTTTCACATCTTACAGGGAAGCCATTCAGCTTTGCCCCATTCAGTATGATACTAGCTTAGGGTCTGTCATATGGCTTTCACTATTATTTTCCTTCTATACCCAGATTTTAGAGGGTTTTCATCATGAAGGCATGTTGAATTTTATAAAATGCTTTTTCATCATTAGTTGAGATAATCTAAAGGTTTTTATCCTTCATTCTATTGATGTGATGTATAACATTGATTGATTTACACATGTTGAAACATCCTTGCATCCCAGGGATAAATCCCACTTGATCATGATGAATGATCTTTCTAATGGATTCTTGAGTTCTGTTTCCTACTATTTTGTTGGGTATTTTTGCATCAGTATTCATCAGAGATATTGGGCTGGAGTTTTCTTTATTTATGTGTTTTTGTCTGGTTTTGTTATCAAGGTAATACTGTCCATATAGAATGAGTTTGGAAGTAATTCCTCTTCCTCTACTTTTTAGAATAGCTTGAGTAGAATTGATATGAGTTCTTCAAATGTTTGATGGAATTCAGCAATGAAGCCATTGCGTCCTCCGCCTTACTTGACTGGGAGACTTTTTATTACAGCTTTGACCTCATTATTTGTTATTGGTCTTTTTGGGTTTTGGGTTTTTTCCTGGTTCACTCTTGGTATGTTGTATGTGTCTAGTGATGTGCATGTCTTCTAGCTTTTCAAATGTATTGCCATATAGTTGCTCATAATAGTCACTAATACGTTGAATTTCTGCAGTATCTGTTGCAATGCCTCCTTTTTCATTTCTGATTTTATTAATTTGGATCTTCTGCCTTTTTTTCTTAGTCTGGCTAAAGGTTTGTCAATTTCGTTTAACTTTTAAAACCATGATTTTTTGTTTCATCGATCTTTTGCATTGTTTTACTCATTTCAATTTCATTAATTTCTGCTCTGATCTTTATTTCTTATTTTCTACTAATTTTGGATTGTGTTTGTTTTTGCCTTTCTACTTCTTTAGGATGCATCATTATGTTGCTCATTTGAAGTTTTTTCTGTTTTTTATTTAGGCTCTTATAAATCTAAACTTCCATGTTAGTACTGCTTTTACTGTATCCTATAGGTTTTAGTATATGGTGTTTCCATTAAAATTTGTTTCAGAAAATTCTTCAGTTTCCTTCTTAACTTCTTCACTAACCCACTAGACATTCAGGAGCACATAGGTTAATTTCCACGTGTTTGTATCATTTCCAAAATTCCTCTTGTTACTTATTTCTAGTTTTTTTCCACTGTGGCCAGAGAAGATCATTGGTATTATACGAATTTTTTTGTATGCTTTTGTGATGTATTTTGTGACCTAAAATATGGTCTGTTCTTGAGAATGATCTATGTACTGAGTAAAGAATGTGCATTTTACAGCTGTTAGTTGAAATGTCCTATTAATATCTATTTGGTAATAAGGCAGACTAAATCTGATGCAGAACCTTCTGTTATATCATCTTGCTCTGCCAATTCCTCCAGTTTTAACAATGGTATTCTGCATCTCATTTAGAGTAATCATCACTCTAAATGTGATGCAGAACATTCCTATATGCCCTGACATTCTTTTATGCCTGGAACTTTCCAGTGAATTCCCACCCCTACTAGAGCCAACCACGATCTAAGTTGGCCTTTTTTTTTTTTTTTTTTTGGAGTGAATATAAATTGAATCTTTCCTTTCCTAGTTCAATTCTTTTCATAACTGAATAATATTTTAATAAGCTATAGTTTTTCCACTCATCTGCTCAGACATGAGGATTATTCACAGTTCCTGGTTTTTATTGATTGGGTAAATACCTAGGAAGAAAATAGCTATGGATAGATGAGTGCTCAAGTTTACAGAACTTTGACAAACAGTTTTTCAAAGGAGCTATATAATGTTACATTCCCACAAGCAATGATGTGAGAGTAATTTGCTCTGAACATGGTACAGTTCAGCTCAGAGCCAGAGTACATGGTTCTATTAAGTCCAGGAATAAAACGGATTGGTCCATCATGCCAGTGTCAAGGTATTTGCTTCTTATCCTTGTGACTTCTGATATTCGAAAAGACATCTTTTGACCAGTGGCCACAACAATAATTCTATAAATTAAAAGCTGAAATTCTCATCTGGCCATTTCTATCTCCTCACATCACTGAATAACCATGCAAAGAACTATAATTTTAGTAGGGGTGACCACTCTTTATTCTCTCAAGGAAATTAGGATTTTGAAACAAAATAAAATCTGAAGTAAAGTCATAGGTCAGGTTCATTATGGAACAGACTCTGAGATTTCGGTATTGATATCTTGCTTTAAGAGTGTGCTTGGGATCCATATCTGAGAAAAGGAAAAGGAAGTAGGTTTGAGCACAGGGAAAATTGGAGCTGTGAATTAGGCCAAGATACTTTCAGAGGATCCTGCAGGGAGATCTAGAGCTCAAACGTCCCTTCAGGTATGTGCTAAGTTGAGCAGAGATGGCCAAGCTTTATGCTCCAGTAGTGAGCAGTCATGGGATGTGGGCCAAATTGAGAAGAGGCATGGCCTTGGGTGAGGCAGCTCTCTGCAGTTGAAAGCTGTCTACCTACTGCAGTTCAGGGACAATGAGACTTTTACCTATCACATAAAAGTTTATTCCTTGTTCATGTAAGATGTACTGAGGGCTCAGCAGTCCTCTAGGGCTACTCCCTTCCAGTAAATGCAGTGCACATTCATCTTTGGTTCCACCTTGTCAGAATTAGCTTAAACCCCTTTTCAGCCAGGCATCTCCCTCGATTTTTTTCTGTGCCTGGAGACCTTGCATTCAGTCTCTGAGCTTGAATTTTCCAAAGAATAAACTTCTTGTTACGTTAAGAAAGGCAAAGTTGCCTGAATGAATGGGAAAGACAGGAAGATAAGAGTTTTTCTGTGCTTTATTGAGAATTTTAGACATGTATCAAGTTTTGATTATTCATGCTTCAAAATTTACAGCTTTCCTGAAATTCTGGACAGGACAGGGGATGCTAATGAAGATTGGTACTAAGGTGGTGAATGGTTTGCTTCTCTGAATGTTTCCTTCTTCATCAAAACTATCATTTTCAATGTTAATAATATATTCTGAATTTTTCCATTTCTGTGCATTTGCAATACTAACAATTAAGTCTAAGCAACTGTCACTCTCACTTGTATTATAAATAATCTAATTGCTTCTCCTACTCACACATTCTCCACAAAACAACTAAGCTGATTATTTAAGTGTATGTGTCACATCTTCTCCACTGCTGTTTTAAGCTCTAAGACCTTTTCATTTCAAGTTGAAGGAACATCACATAATGCACCTGACATGAGACACAAGGCCCTCTATGCTCTACCCTCAGTCTCTCTCCCTTCCACTCTATGTCCCAGACCCAAATAAGCTTCTTTTGTATTCCTGGAAACACAAACTCACCAAGTTCTGTGTTAGGTCTGTTGTACTTGCTGGTCCCTGCAAGGGGAGAATTCTGCTCCACACCTTCCCATTTTGTAACTGGGTCCCCAAAAGGTCTCCTGCTTTGTGAATCCTTCTGAGACCAGATGCTCAGCCAGCGCCAGCCCATTCTGCTCTGTCATCTAATCCCTCTGTAGTTTCTATACAGCATACATTCCTAATTGAAGCCTTGTTCACTTGCTTGGGGACAATATTGGGCTGAGTGAAAGTTACCAGTGTGAAATACACACAACTTTGAAAAGGCGGTGGAGCCCGGGAGAGAAGATAGTCAGATGATGGCACTTTTATCCTAGGATTACTCATCTTTCCCAGCAATTTGGGCCTGCTATTCAGTTGAGCACCAGGCTGGGCCTAAAGCCATCCTCAAAGTATGACTGCAACCCAGTGCTCCCACCCGGCCAGACAGCCAGAAGCCCACAACCATGCCCTGAGCTCACTCATCACCACAAAATGTAAGGAGCCCAAAAAATATGCTTTGCCTTAAATGTTTTCAACTAATTATGAGGAAAATGCATGGAGAATAATCTTCTTTCCAAGTTGTTCGAAACTACGATATTAGGAAGAAAGTGTGATTTTACATTTTGGTGACTTTTAATTCATTTGTGAACAAATACTGGTGACATCACATTTTAAATACCTGTCAGAAAGATGATACTTTTTTTCTGACTCTATTGATCTAATCGGTCATTAGAAGCTAGTTTTGCTAGAAAGGGAGTGTTGGAGTGGGGTGAGGTAAGGAAAGAAGATTGAAGGGGAATCACATTGTGAATTCTTCAGAAGCGCAGCAGCCTCCATAGTTGTTCCAGCAATTGGGGCACTGGGATAGATGAGTGCTTAACAAACTCAGGAAGACCTCTTTTGCAGAGACACGCATCTCCAGTGGATGAAATCTCAGCTGGTGACACAGAAGTAGAAGTGTCAAATTATTACAAGGTCTGAGAGAATAAAGAATATATGGTGAATTCGGTAACTACCTTGGACTCAGCAACGCCCAGAGCTCTCATCAGAGAGGCTATAGCACCAAGAGGTTCTGTGACTGTGGTGGTCTGCAAATTTGCTCAAAATTCTGAGATGTAAATTTGAGCAATATCAAGAAGCCACCACAGAGCAAAGTAGCAAGATAGAAAAGCTGATCATGGGCTCAGGAGGGGTGCCCAGCAGCTCCTGGAATCCTTGGCAGGATGCTGGATCCTGGACTCAGAGGTGCAGGCCTGTCCATCAATGCTCCATCTTTGTGCAGGGGGCTGAGGCTCAGGGGCTGATGCATAGGGTCTGAAGCTATGTGAACTGTGACCATCAACAGGCACCTCCTGGCTGGAGCCTGGAATATTAGCTTTTAGACCCTAGTTACAGAAGGCAATGACCAAAACCATATCTGTCAGTTGAGGGGTTCAGACCAGGGTTGATGGAGCTGGGGTGAGCAGTGGGTCCAGGCTAAGGTCCTGGGCTAGGAAGTATCACTGCAGGCTAGATGGACCATGGAAACACTGGGCACAAGGGTGAGGCAACAGGTACCACAGGATGAGGTCATGGGCTAAATGGGTCACTACCCTGGTGATCCAGGTGGTGTCTCAGCTAGGTAGCCTTCTTGTGCACTTGGATCATCCAGGTGGGCCTCTCCAGGCTGGCATGTACCCTGGACTCCACGTGGTCTGCACATGACCCAGCTTGCCTGTGTTTCTACAGCTCAGAGCACTTGGGTTACAGGATGCCCATAGTGGTTTGCCTGCCACTGCACTGAGACACCACTTTGCCTGAATTTATCTATCAATGGTAGCAAAATTCCTGACCTCCTGGAAGCTGAAGCCATGGTTGAAGCGAGCATGGTAGCCATTAAGAAACCATCTAGAAGTTTAGCCTCCTCCTCGAGTTTTCCCCACATTCAGCCTTATCAACTGTAACCACAACAAAATAAATTTTGTCCCTTTGCTTTCACCAATTATAGTTCTAAAAATATTTTCAGTGGTTAATAGTGCTAATTTTATAAATTATTGGCTGAAGTGCATCAAATATGTCACATTCATGAAAATGGTGGCTTGGAGTTAAAGTATCTCACTAATAGATAGACAAATTTTGTGTTTTATTTATTTTTTATATTTATTTATTTATTTTGAGATGAAGTCTTGCTCTGTCACCCAGGCTGGAGTGCAGTGGCGTGATCTGGGCTCACTGCAACCTCCATCTCCCAGGTTCAAGCTATTCTGCCTCAGCCTCCCAACTAGCTGGGATTACAGGCATGTGCCACCTAAGTTTTGTATTTTTTTAGTAGAGATGGGGTTTTGCCATGTTGGCCAGGCTTATCTTGAACTCCTGAATTTAGGTGATCCGCTAGTCTCAGCTTTCCAAAGTGCTAGGATTACAGGCATGAGCCAACATGCCTGGTCTTGTATTTATTTTAAGAAAGAATTAATTGCTTCCTTATGGGTGTATATAAAACAACACTGACTTGAATTTTATCAAAGGCCTATCACCAACTATAAATGTGATCATATAATTCTATTCTTTTAATGTACTTAAATTATCTTAGCTAATATTTAAGTTAAAGTTTTTACATTGATGTTCATAAATCAGTTTTGGCCGTCATTTCCTCTCATTCTGCATGGAATTCATAAGGATTTTCTATCAATAATGTGCTTATTTTGGCCAGGCGCGGTGGCTTATGCATATAATCCCAGCACTTTGGGAGGCCGAGGCGGGTGGATCACGAAGTCAAGAGATCGAGACCATCCTGGTCAACAAGGTGAAACCCCGTCTCTACTAAAAATACAAAAATAAGCTGGGCATGGTGGCACGTGTCTGTAGTCCCAGCTACTCAGGAGGCTGAGGCAGGAGAATTGCTTGAACCCAGAAGGCGGAGGTTGTGGTGAGCCGAGATCATGCCATTGCACTCCAGCCTGGGTAACAAGAGTGAAACTCTGTCTCAAAACAAAAAACAAAAACGACAAAACAAAACAAAATGTGCTTATCTTAAAACATTAAAGTTTTTCCTCATTTTAAAGGCCTATATATACTTTTGTATATATAAAATTGTCTAATCCTTGTCATTTTTGAATGGGTAGATCTTCCATGATCTTTCTGTATCTCATACACAGAAATTTATGTCTTAAATTTTCTATTTAGTAAGTTAATTTTTCAAAAAATCCGTATCATTGGAGTTTTTGTTGATTTAGTATATTATTTTACATTTATTCTAACTCATTAATTTCTGTGTATATGTGTATCAATTCCTCCTTGCTACCTTCAGACTATCCTTTCCTAACTCACACATCAATCAGAAGCTTAATGCAGTTAATTTCATTCTTTGGATGTGATGGAGAAAATACTTAAAGCTGCAAATTGTCCTCAGCACTACTGTAAATGAATCTCATATATTCCTTTATGTATTTTATTAAATTTTAAACCTAAGAACACTCCTGTAATCCTTATTGTGTCCCAAGCATTGTTATTAACAAATTGCACATATTAACTAAATAGAACTGTCAACTAAACACATGAGGTAGATGATACCTCCATTTTACATTGAGGAAACATATCATAAAGTTAATGAATTTTCAAGGTCATACAAGCTGGTAAAAGAAACAGGAAATCAAAATCAGGCTTTCTTGCTCCAACGTTTATGCATGAAATAGATATTTATTGTTTTGTGGAAATTTGGCTTTTTTGGATTGTGTTTCACTGAGATCTGAGGTTCATTCAATAAAAAAGTGTTTAACCTGCAAAGAAAAAGACCCGCACATTTTTTTGGCTGTAAAAATATTTCTAGTCTGAATGCATGATAATTCAGAATGCTTAATTTTTAACTTATTTTTAAAGAAAATATTGATATTTTCTACTCACCCTAATATATGGTCATATTTTGTGATTCATTCTTTGGCACCTGAAGAGAGGGAGTTTTTTGTATTTTTTTTTTTTTTTCAGATGGAGTCTCACTCTGTGGCCCAGGCTAGAGTGCAGTGGTGTGATCTCGGTTCACTGCAACCTCTGCCTCTCCAGTTCAAGCGATTCTTCTGCTCAGCCTCCTCAGTAGCTGGAACTATAGGTGCATACCACCATGTTCAGCTAACTTTTCTATTTTTAGTAGAGATGCGGTTTCACCATATTGGCCAGGCTGGTCTCGAACTCCTGACCTTGTGATCTGCCCACCTTCATCTCCCAAAGTGCTGGGATTACAGGAGTGAGCCACTGCGCCCAGCTGAGAGGGAGTATTTTCTATCTTCTGGAATACCAATTCTACCTTATTGTTAATGTAGTTTGAGTTTTCCATATCCTTCTTAGATTTCTCCATTTCTTTTCTCCTTGGATTGGATGAGTAAGGTGACTGTAATAGTCCATCCTCACATTGCTCACATAAATAAATACCTGAGATTGGATAATTTAAAACAAAATAGGTTTAATTGGCTCATGGTTCTGCAGGCTGTACAGAAAGCATACGAGTTTCTGCTTCAGGGGAGGCCTCAGGACACTTACAATCATGGCAAGAGGCAAAGGAGAAGCAGGCACGTCTTACCTGGCTGGAGCAGGAGAATTTCAGAGAGGGTGCAGGTGCCACACACTTTTAAACAACCAGATCTTCTGAGAACTCTCTCACAACAACAGCACTATGGGAATAGTGCTAAACCATTCTTAAGAAACCACCCCTGTGATTCAGTGATCTCCCACCAGGCCCCACCTCCAACATTAGGGATTAAAATTCCACATGAGATTTAAGCAAGAACACATAACCAAATCATATTGGTGACTTAAATGTTCCTATTTTTAATCTGTTTCTTTAAACTTGTCTTTTATCTACTATAATTTATACTTTGTTAAACTTACTTGAATATTTATGACTGTTATAATTTCATTGTGAAATTTCATCTTTTGCATTGTAAAGATACACGCTATATACCTTTGGTCTCAATCCAGGTTTGCCTGATATTAAAGTCTGTGACTCTACTTTTATGTTAATTCTTTGCTTGCTATTATTTTGCTCATTCCTTTATCTCATTTTTCCACATCACTTTCTTTTTGATATATCTCTTTTATATAATTCTAATTTTAAGAACATGTAGTAAAAATGTTCTTTACAGATATACACTAGAGATAGAAAATTTAATGAACATCAACAACATTAAAAATATCTCTGAGGCCACGACTGGCTAATAGACTCAGTTGGTCTAAAGGTCTAGTTTGCGCATGTGCATGGGATCTGGACCCACAGCACAGTAAGGGAGGTATCCTGAGGGGACATCAGCAACAAGTGCTGTTCATGGCATCTGGGCCATGGTGAAGGTCACAGGCACAATGATTAGGAGTAGACAGAGGGTCCTTGAGAGGTACTACAAAAACCTATGGCAACCTTTGGGGAGGGGACTTCAGTGGCCGCTGGGAGCCCTGGCTGTCACAGTAGGGCTCTGGGGGTCTTGAAATGTGTCAGTTATTAGAAGGAAAGAATCTTCATTGGGGAGAGGCCCAGGCCAGAATTCTCCTTGGCAAGAATTTTCTCTGGTTCCTGGGGTTGGGATAAGAGGAAGGTATCCCTTGACATTTGGCACCATATTCAATAGCCATGGGTTCAGAGGACTGATCATGCTTTGGAGGAAAATGTCTCCAAATTCAGTGGCATATCTCGGTCTGGCTTAAGCCCCAGCAGATGAGTCTGAGAAACAGAAGGTTCTGGAAAACTTAGTTGAGACCAGAACCCTAGAGGCATAAGAGTGGTCCATTGTTGCAACCTTGGCCAGGTTCACCATGGGTGCTGAAGGCCACTGCTCAAAGGTGCAGGTTTGTCCTTCAAAGTGTCATTGGTGAACTGGAGCTGAGGCTTGAGGCCTCGAGCTCCACTCCCTGTCCCAATGAGAGGTGTCTCTTGGCTGCAGACTGAATAGTTGTCTCCTCAGTCCCCAGTTTTTGAGGATGGCAAGCATGACCCTGACCACGACCACGACCTCAACCAGGACCACAGCCACAAAAAGGATCCCACCTTACAGTGGAAGGGTGAAGAACCTAGGCTGACGTCCCCATGGTTTGTATTGTAAATTCAGGCACAGCATCAGTGCCAAGGCCCTTTGGGTTATAACAGAGCCCTGTGGGCACAGTCTGTGTGGAACAGCTGGCATGTGGTTCAGGAGATGCCTCAGGCCCAGAGCAGCTCTCCTAAGTGCTATGTCCTCCCTCCAGGTGCTCTCCTCCTGGCTTTCTGCAACCTTGGCCTCCATGTGATCCACAAGGGCTGAAACTTACCTGCATTTTCAGAGCCCATAGCTCTCTGGTTGCAAGATGCGCATGAAGGCGTCCATGGAAAAGGTCACCCTCGCCTCCCCACAGCTACACTGTGAAGCCACTTTGCCATAATCAATCCATCGTGGAGTGGCAAAATTGATGGCCTCTGCACAGTTGAAGCCATGGTTGAAGCCCGCATGATAGCAATAGGGAAAGGTCACAATGAACTCCCAGCCTCCTGAGTCATGCAATTGAAGGGAATCTCGTTCTCTTTGAGAACTGTAGGAGAGATGAGGGCCACCTTGTGCCGCAGGAAGGCCTCACAGCCCTGGGAAATTGTTGGGAAAAGCTCGCTGGCCAGGCATTCCAGGCGCTGGCCATGTTCTGGGGGCACTGCGTACCACGTTTTGGGCTCCCCAAAGTGCAGGTAGTTGATGCTGTAAAGGTCCATGTCCTCCGTGTGCCAAGCAAATGTGGTCTTCCACATGCCAAAGTACAGGTAGGGGGTGTTGATGCCCTCGATGACCACCCCACATTCCTGCTCCAACAGGTCCAGAATTGTTCCCAGGTGTCCTAGGTTCCACTGTGTAGTGTTTTCTTCAAATAAGGAGCCACTAATATCAGCACCATAAATTGGTGAATCACCGGGGTGGCTCTTCCAGTATTGTTGCTCCAGATCGTCGAAATTCCGGTGTGGTGGAGTCTGATATTTCTTACTGTTTGCCAAATGGCGATAATTCCCGACTGTCATGGCTTTCTTCTTTTTATGGTATTGAGTAAACACACCTCCCTGCCCAGAGGTCACCTGCTGGAGGGGAGTGGCGACCAAGATGTCTTCAATACCATCGTAAGTCTTTCTGGCTTTCCATTCCTTGGGTGGAATTACCTTGGCGAGGCCAGCTTGGTGTGCGCCTTGGGACTCCATGTGAGCAACATATTTGTTGAAATCTGTAAATTCTTCCATGGTTGGGTAAAAAGTCATGATGCTACAAACTGTGTTCTGGGGAACAGAGTGCACAGACTTCATGGCTGCACACAAGAAACAGCTGACTCCCAACTTCTTAGGCATCTTCTAGATACCTGAGAGTGCTGAGGAATAATTTCCTTTCTCCCCTTTACTTTTCAAAATGCTTTGGTTTATCTGTAAGGCAGTAATTCAGAATTGAACTTTTGAACAAGTGAGATCTTTCCCAGGCTTCCCAGGGGTGACTCTGCTTTAGTCAGTATTTTTTTTTTTTTTTTTGTCCAAAGAAAATAGAATATGTCATAGTGAGGCAGGTGCCCCAGCTGGAGTCCCAGCTCCACTTAAGCTCTGTGAGTTTCCTCAGTTGGGGGTGTCTCTGTGAGGCTTCTCTTGATCCGCAGGCTTGGGTGTGCAAGTAGCTGGTAACTCCACTGTACCTGGCCATCTCTCCTAGGAAGTCTAAATAGTACACCTAAACAACAACAACAAATAGAGAATATTTGAAAATTCATGTATGACCAGACAAAAGAAATACTCAGCTAGTATTAAGCTAAACTAAAGGATAAGCTGTGCTAATATCAAGTTTTAAGGTCAAATTATAAAACAGAAAAAAGGGTTTTTTTTTAGTAGAAACCCTGTCTCTACTAAAAATAAATAAATAAATAAATAAATAAAAATAAATAAATAAATACCAAAAACCAGGTATGGCTATTTTAGTTTGATCAGATGATCAAACTAAAAGGAAAAATTATCAAGTTTGCAAAGGGATGAACTGAGCACTCCACACAAGAAACATCAGAAAAAACAATGAAAATAAAGACACAAGCAGAAACCATTGCAAAAGGAAACAGAGCACCCAATAGGAATGACGACAAAAAACTAAAACTTGACTTTTCAAAAAGTTGGTGAGAAGTAAAAAGCCATACGCATGAAGAGAAAAGAAAGTACAAATGAAATGCATTGAGATAACTCACAGGGCATAGCTATAATTTTGGTGGAGATGTTTTAAAAATTTTAACTGACTCTTATGAAAAACTTGTTTGATAATTTTCTCAGTAGGACAAATATCCAAAAGCACTTTAGTGAAGAAATAAAATGATCTACCTTCCACCAAAAACTCACAATTCCAGATGAAAGTACTCCAGGACCAAAAGAGAAAGCTCCTGTTGGTAGCTGAACTCTAAATGAAGCCCAGGTCCCAAAGACTCTTGCTTTTTTATATCTGGGCAACATCCTAATCCAATCAGTGCCCAGCGAATGTAATCACTGGGCTGGGTCCAGAATAGGTGCCCCATCCACCCATGCCCATGCCCCTCCCTTTTATTTTACATTTTAAATCAATCCTAAGAAAAAGCTAGGTGATTAAAAGTCGATTTATGGGAAAGGGAAATCTAGACAAATATCAAACAAAAGAAACCTAGGGTAACAATATTAATATGCAACGTATTTGACCAATCATGGTGGCTCACACCTGTAATCCCAGCACTTTGGGAGGCTGAGGCAGGAGGATCACCTGAGGTCAGGAGTTTGAGACCAGCCTGCCCAACATGATGAAACCCCATCTCTACGTGTAATGCCAGCTACTGGGAAGGCTGAGACACAAGAATCACTTGAACCTGGGAGTCAGAGGTTGCAGTGAGCAGGCATTGCACCACTGCACTTCAGCCTGGGCAACAGAGTTAAATTTTGTGTCAAAAAAAAAAAATCCCATGTATTTATAGGATCAAAAAGGCACATTTTATAGTTTGAGACCCTGTCTCAAAGAGAAAGGAAGGAAAGAAGGAAGGAAGGAAGGAAGGAAGGAAGGAAGGAAGGAAGGAAGGAAGGAAGGAAGGAAGGAGGGAGAGAGAGAAAGATTTTTCATTTCCCTAATACAAATGAGAGGCAGCATTTTTTTCACGTTTATTGGCCATTGGGATATTCTAACTCGTGAAGTGACTATTATGTATTTTGTCCATTTCTCTACTGGGTTTGCTGTCTCTGTGCTAGCTCTTTGTATATACTGGATATTAGCTGTTTATTAGATATGAGTAGTACAATATCTGTTCACGCCCCTTGGTTTGTCTTCTCTTTTCTTCTGTTTTGATGAACAGAGTATCTTTTGATGAACAGAAATCCCTCTTAATTTCTAATAATAAAACTGTTATTTAAAATAGCTAACATACATGATGAATATAAAATACCAAACACTTTTCAATTTACTCTGCATAGAATAACTCATTTAATCTTCATAATAACCTGTAAGAAAATGTTATCTCTGTTTCTCCATGACAAAACTCAGTCACGGAAACATTAAGAAATTTGTTCAAGGTGATAGAGCTAGCACATGTTAGAGACAGAGATTTAAACAAAAATCTCCAAAATGATACCTTTAAGAAAAATACAGATGACTTCTCCTTTATCTAACTGTGATATTTGAGCTGAAATAAACAATACAGGACACAGAGGCCAGACAAACGTGCATGTAGAGCTGACCGTTGAACAAGGAGAGAATGAGGGACATTGACCCTCTGTGTAGTTGAAACTTCTTGAGTAACTTTTGACTTCCCTAAAAACTTTACTAATAGCCTACTGTTGACTGTAAGCCTTACTGATAACATAAACAGTTGATTAACACATATTTTGTTTGTTGCATGTATTATATACTGTATTCTTACAATAAAGTAAACTAGAGAAAAGAAAATGCACTTAGAGTACTATACTGTATTTATGGATACCTTCAATTTATTTTATCTGTTTAGAAGATGAATGGTCTATCTGAAATGGCTGGCAATCTCACTGCGGATCTCAGTCTACACTATGCATCAAGCAATTCAACTTTTTGTAATGTCATGACTTTTCTCTGCTTCTTGGGAACACTTCCAGCATCACTAGTGGCGCTTCGTATGGGTTCCATGGCGTTATTCAAACTTTATGATATTGTACTAAACATGATTAAAAATATTCAAGAAACTGCAGTTTACTGAAGATATTAGCTCATGTGTGGATGATTAGCATCCCACGGTGTTTTAAGAGGATACTCGCAATACCTGAGCTCTCCATATAGCAACAAGATGTGGCTACAAAATACTTACAGTAGTACAGGGGGTACTACAGTTAATTTTGTACAGTTATGATTTAATACTACATCTTTACATTTGTTTACATTCATCTCATCTGAAATTGGCACCATGTATGATCTGTAAATTCTGATAAATTTTAACTTATAAGCCAGGCGCGGTGGCTCACGCCGGTAATCCCAGCACTTTGGGAGGCCAAGGCAGGTGGATCATGAGGTCAAGAGTTCAAGACCAGCCTGACCAACTTGGTGAAACCCCGTCTCTACTAAAAACACAAAAATTAGCTCAGCATGGTGGCACACGCCTGTAATCCCAGCTACTCAGGAGGTGAGGCAGGAGAATAACCTGAACCTGGGAGGCGGAGGTTGCAGTGAGCCAAGATCATGACACTGCACTCCAGCCTGGGCGACAGAGTGAGACTTTGTCTCAAAAAAAAAAAATTTTTTATCTTTTAAAAACAGATTTCTGTATGTTTTATGGTAATACATGATAACATACACTGTTATATACATGCATTTAATGCATTCATGACATACGTATTTTTTATTTTTTCAATATTTCTAAACCACAAGATTTTTATCACAGATTTTTAAAATTGCTCTGAAAGTCCAAGATATTTACCAATATAGTTATTGAAAAAAATCTGCGTATGAGTGGACTTATGCAGTTCAAACTTATGTTGTTTAAGGCTCAGCTGTACATGTGGGAATCTGCATATAATAAAAGTGGCTTACCAATCCTGTGAAGAGGAATTAATTATTCAATAGGTGATACAATAGTGGCCTTTTTGGGGGAAATGACAGAGCTCTACCTCATACTACTTAGATAAGTAAATTACTGTAGATTAAACACTGGCTGTGCAAAGGAAAACTTTAAGATTATTTGAGAATATATTGAAAAAAGTGTTTATCCATTCAAGGCAGGATAAAATGTCCTAAAGAAGAACCAAAAGCACAAACAATAATGGAAATGTCTGATATATTTAACTGATTCCAGTGTAATAATGACATAAAAAATTAAGAAACAAGACACAGGATAGAATAGTTTTACCATACATAAAATAAACAATAAATGAGTATCCTGAAAACTTCTAGAGATCAATAAACAAAATAAGAGTCAACCCAAAAGAAGTGGGCAAAAACTTAGAACAGGCAACCTGAACAAAGAAAATCCAAATGGCCAATATATATGAGGAGACGTACAAGATTACTTGTGATTGAGAAAATGCAGTGATACTTTAAAAAAATTAATTTAGGTAAGGAAAAGGTGAAAAGGTCTGACAATATAAAAATGGGCCAACATATGAGAAAACCACAATGGTCAGACTGCTAATGGACATAGAAATTGTAGACCAATATAGCTGTTCCTAGAAAATGTTGAAAATGAGTAGAAATATCAACAAGGAACTCTAGTTCTATGTATGCAGTTGTTCAATAAAGTGTTGTTTAAGATAAGAAAGACGTGGAAATGATCTACTTATCTATCAGCAGGGTAATAAAGAAAATGAAAAATTATACAAATCTATTGACTTTGCTGGAGTCACTAGGATCTATATAATAGCAATGTGTTCAGAACTTGCAACATTAAGTTTTTAAATAGGTGGTAAGAGGAGAAGTTGGTAAAGCCACATCTGACATATTATCCTGACTGTGTAAAATTATAAGTATAAAAGTGAAGAATGTATAAGGAATACATGATTACTCTTTCTCAGAAATGAAGAGAAATCTAGAAACAGAGGTCATGGGAGAGGACAAAGATGGCTCTAAACTTGCCTCTAGATAATTCTCATTACCGATATTTCTTGATTTTCTAAAATAGAATGCAGCATGGCAAAAGGTTATTATTCTACATGGGCAAACAGCAGAATATGGACACCGTCTATTAATAAGAGTAGACCCGATTAAGTGTGTGAAAATAAAGTAACAGAGAATTCTAACTACAATTTCCCAAAGAAGCCCTCCACAACCACATGCAACTCCCTGAGTTTTCTAAAGGCTGATTTAGAAACTACTTTAGCTGTACCATTGCTTGCTCTTGTTTGGAAAGAGAATGTAAAACACTGATGAAAGTAACTGAGTAGAAACAGGAGTGCAATAGGAGCAATGTTTTCTAAAAATTCTTTATGTCCTTATGTTTCTTGTCTTCCCAACCCAAGCTTTTTGTTTTTGTTTTTTTTTTTTTTTTGTTTTTATTCTTAATTTTAAAAGTCCCAGGGCAGCTATTTGCCTGGAAAGAGATTGAGATGTTGCTGAAGCAGATATTCAATTCTAACTTTCCAAATTAGAACGTGAGCCAAGCTATCAATCATCTGATATTTTCAGAACTTCCTTATTTCTCTGCATTTCCTTATCCACAATCCAACATTACTACCTAATTTTAATTGCCAATTAATTGCCTCCAGTACAAAAGTAAG